CAGTTAAATTTTTTAGTGACTTATGTGTGCATCTAAATAAATGATCGATTAATGTTTGTCTTAAAAGGGTTTTCTTAATTCTTTTTTGTTGTTTTTTGGGGGAAAGATTAAACAATATGCTTATTTATTCCATAGTTTCACAAACAGGAAGGGGGTTTTAAATGGTTTAGTTCCACAATTCAGTGTAGATGTATATTTAAAGAAGCATTGCATAACATGCACTACCTCTTCCTAAAATGCATCATACCAGAGCCAATTTTGGAAAACACAAATATGGGTGGGTATATTTTGAAAATTATGGGAACATAATAGATCCTTAATTGATATCTGTGGCTTTTATGGAAAATATTTGTTTTTATGAGGCATCTGTCATGCAAAAAGACATTTCTGCTATTGACTGAAGTTCATGGGGAGACATAGATTGAGTTTTGTTTCTGAGCTTTACTTCCAAAGTGAACATTCCACTTATTTTGTCCTGAAGTATTTTATTGTTCTGATAAAGAAGAGTAACAGTATATTCTAAGTGACTACTAAGTAATTTATGTAAACTTCACCAATAATCCATATTTGGGTGACAAGAGCACTTTCATGTTCATTATAGCACTTGATTCTCACTCACCCCAATGAAAGTGACTTTATCCCCCACCTTTTAGAGATGAAAGAAATTAGACTCCCTCCTTGCAATTTTCCCAAGGCAAGTGAACAGCAAAGTTCCCCGGCGGATGATTCTGGAATCTAGGTATTTAATTCCAGCCATAGTGCTTCTCTCCTCTGTTCTTTATGCATGTCATAATGCAGTACATTGAAAAGATTTTAAAATGGGCCCTAGTGTTAGGCAGATTTGGGTTCGAATCCAGCTTCTATCACTGCCTGACCATTGCCCCAGGGCAAGCTGTTTGCTTCTTTGAGCTCTATTTGTGAATTAAGCTAAAAATAGCCCCCCATGGGACTGTGGGAAGGATTAAATGCAATAATGCACAAAAAGCACATAGTGGAATGTTTCATAAATGTTACCCATTGTTATGTTGTTATGTAACCTGCAAAGTATGTTTGGTTACACTACATGAATACTTTCAGTTTTTCAAAAACATCACTAATACATGAGAAATCAAACCCTGAAAATTAAATTTTTTCAACAGTAAAGTCATATGCCAGATGCAAAGGATAATATTTAATGGACAAAGACCTCAGTTTTAAGGCTTGATCCAACTTCGTTTGTGGAGAATTCTTTTGCTTTCTGTAGTTTCAAAATGTTCTTCATGCCAATACACTTTTAATCATATGAATTATATGAAATTGCCATTTTTATAATTCAAATATGGCAAATAGTGACAATTTCATATGGCACAGCCCAACAGATGAACAAATTATCCATCAGATGAAGGGTGGGTTTTTTTTTTATGTTTTAGTTACAATGGAGTTAACTGAAGAAATTAAGTTTGAAAGGAAATGTACATTGTTTTCATTTTCAGCACATCTCCAGAGGAACAGATAGCAAGGGAGTTAAAAACGAGAATTAAAAACAAAATCTCTTGTCCCAATATATATGTATACGCAACTCAGCTCCTAACAAAACCTAAAGGGTAAAATTATGTGCTCAATGCCTGCAAATTCCCAAGGAGGGCACCAAAAACTCCTGACAGCATGCGTGCTTGAGGAAAACGACAGTTGTTGAAGTCACCTCCTGAGATCTTGCCAAACGTAGGAATATATTGGATGTCAGGAGATGGGGAGCGGGTGAGCAGGGTGGGGGGGAGAGGGGCGGGGGAAGAGACGGAAAAGAAAGTGTCATTTGTGAATGCTGCAGATGAGGGCAGATGTGAGTACCTGGAGGGGGATATCCATGGCTGAGTCTGCTTGCCTGCCTCCAAGCGAGCCTTCCTGTGTGTTTATTTCTTTTTGTGTGTGTTCATGCCTTTGAGCTTTTGGATGTTTCTGTGTTTGTTTACGGATACCTCTCTGAGTTGGACAGCAGTGACTTTGTAAGTTGCTGCGTGAGCGCGCGCGAAGTGCATGTTGGTGCGCTGGAAGGGTGTGTCTCAGTGTCTGTGGCTGTGGTTCGGTATAAGTCTGAGCTTGTCTGTGAGGATGCATTTGTGCCAGTATGTGTGTGTCTTGGTGGGCATTCTCTCAATTCCGAAAGTGGTAGAGTATTCGGATGCTGCTCTCTGCGCTGAGACCTCTACTACCCAAGGCAGATAAGTAGCAGCCACAGAAGAGCCCAAAGCTCCTGAGTTGACTGGTAAGCGCAACCTCTCCAGCTTTATCCTTCTGGGGCCAGCTAGGGTAGCCTGGAGGGAGTGGTGGCCCGCCCGCCCGGGAGCAGCTGGGCCCCGCCCGCCAGGGCCAGCTCCAGGATCCGGCGGGCGAGGGGAGGGGAGGAAAGGCTAGCGGTGCCTCGCCCCTTTGGGACTGCAGGCGCGCGATTGGCCAAAAGTTGCCGCACGTCACGGGGAAGGCAGTTCCCCTAAAGTCCAGTGCACATAACGGGCAGAGCGCACTCCGAAGCGACTTCTCCACAGCGCGGGCTGCAGTGACCGGCTGCGCTAGGTCAGAGCACCTCACAAGCTGAGTGGGCAGGACGCGCCCCCACCGCACCCACCCTACGGCTGCTGAATGAGGCTTCCAGGGGTCCACTCGCTGCCTGCAGCGCCCCGCCGGAGGTGCGCCCGTTGAGGCGCGGCCAGTGAGCAGGCAGCCTGTGCGCTCACCTGCCAGCCTGCGCGCCATGGGGCAACCCGGGAACGGCAGCGACTTCTTGCTTGCATCCAATGGAAGCCATGCGCCGGACCACAATGTCACGCAGGAAAGGGACGAGGCGTGGGTGGTGGGCATGGCCATCGTCATGTCGCTCATCGTCCTAGCCATCGTGTTTGGCAACGTGCTGGTCATCACAGCCATTGCCAAGTTCGAGCGATTGCAGACGGTCACCAACTACTTCATCACCTCACTGGCCTGCGCTGACCTCGTCATGGGCCTAGCGGTGGTACCGTTTGGGGCCAGCCACATCCTCATGAAAATGTGGACTTTTGGCAACTTCTGGTGTGAGTTTTGGACTTCTATTGATGTGTTGTGCGTCACCGCCAGCATTGAGACCCTGTGTGTGATAGCAGTGGATCGCTACTTTGCCATCACATCTCCCTTCAAGTACCAGAGCCTGCTGACCAAGAATAAGGCCCGGGTGGTCATTTTGATGGTATGGATTGTGTCGGGCCTTACCTCCTTCTTGCCCATCCAAATGCACTGGTACCGGGCCACCCATCAGGAAGCCATCAGATGCTATGGCAACGAGACCTGCTGTGACTTCTTCACGAACCAAGCCTATGCCATTGCTTCCTCCATAGTGTCTTTCTACTTGCCCCTGGTGGTCATGGTCTTTGTCTATTCCAGGGTCTTCCAGGTGGCTAAAAGGCAGCTCCAGAAAATTGACAAATCTGAGGGGCGATTTCACGCCCAAAATCTCAGTCAGATGGAGCAGGATGGGCGTGGTGGGCATGGTCTTCGCAGGTCCTCCAAGTTCTGCTTGAAGGAGCACAAAGCTCTTAAGACCTTGGGCATCATCATGGGCACTTTTACCCTCTGCTGGCTGCCCTTCTTCATTGTGAACATTGTGCATGTGATCAAGGACAACCTCATCCCTAAGGAAGTTTACATCCTCCTAAACTGGGTGGGCTATGTCAATTCAGCTTTCAATCCTCTTATCTACTGCCGGAGCCCAGATTTCAGGATTGCCTTCCAGGAGCTTCTGTGCCTACGCAGGTCTTCTCTAAAGGCCTATGGGAATGGCTACTCCAGCAATGGCAAATCGGAGTACACAGAGGAGCAGAGTGGATATCACCTGGGGCAGGAGAAAGAAAGCAAACTGCTGTGTGAGGAGCCCCCAGGCACGGAAGACTTTGTAAACTGTCAAGGTACTGTGCCTAGCGATAGCATTGATTCACAAGGGAGGAATTGTAGTACAAATGACTCACTGCTGTAATGCAGTTTGTTTTTCTTTTTTACTTTTTAAGACCCCCCCCAACAGAACACTAAGCAGACTATTTAACTTGAGTGTAATAAATTTAGCAAAAAAATTGTATAGAGATTTGCAGGAGGAGATATCCCTCTGCCTTTTTTTTTTATTTTTTTAAGCTGTAAAAAAGAGAAGATGTGTTTGAGTGAATATTTGTTTCTTGTACAGTTCAGTTCCTCTTTGTGTGGAACTTCTAAGTTTATGTCTGAAGGGCGTTAGTCCTAGGACCCGGGTCTGTATGTTTTGATGACTTTTCCATGTATCTACCTCATTGTTCAAGTATTAGGGTTATTATATTGCTGCTGGTAATTTGTATCTGAAGGAGATTTTCCTTCCTGCACCCTTGGACTTGAGAATCCTGAATATCTCGGACCTTTCAGCTGTGAACATGGACTCTCCCTCGCTCCTCTTATTTGCTCAAATGGAGTGTTGTAGGCAGGGATTTGAGGGACAGCTTTGTTTTCCTGAGCAAAGTCTAAAGTTTACAGTAAATAAATTGTTTGACCATGACTTCATTGCACCTGTTTCTCCAAAACCCCTTGACTGGAGTGTCCTTGCCTCTCCCACTGGAAACCACAGGTAACTATTTGTAATAACTGCCCAGTGGCTTAATGTGGAAGGATACAAGAATGACATGCACTGGCTGCTTAACCCTTTCATGTACCTATGAATCTGTGGCTACAAACATGTATTTCTCCTAAACTCTGCTTGTGATCCAGATCAGTCCTGCCTGTTCTCAGCATAGCTCAGCTCTTCCTACAGTTGTTATTCTGTGTTGTTACCTCAGAAACACTGACTCATAGAAACAGAGTTATGGGCATATGTTTTATCCTTCCCCATGCCCCCGCCACCCACCTCCAGTTCTGCTTGTTTAATAACTGTGTATATTTATATCTTTGCTATGTCTTATAGTGGAGCCCTTTGTACTACATCAGGGTTTGGCATTTTCAGGATAAGGAAGATGTTCTTGTGCAAATGCCACTCAGCCATAGCCTTGTAATTCCAAGGGACTATCAGAGGGCATTGGTTAGAGGGAGCAAAACTGGAAAGCACCTAACTGATGAATACCTCATAACCCAGAAACCAGATTCGAATCCTCCTTCTCCCATCCCTTTTCTCCTTTTTCCATTAATTTCCTACACTTCAGTATAAACAAGGTACTGTTAACATTTTGGACCACGTTAACTCTTGGTCGTGGGAGAGCAATCCCATGCATTGGTGGGTGTTTAGCAGTTCCCCGCCTCTACTCATTACATGCCAATAGCAGCCCCCAGATTAGGACAACCAAAAATGTCTGCAGACATTACCAGATACCCCCAGGACAGAGAGCCACTGATATAAACTTTGATCATCACAACTCATCTTCCGATCCCACCTAATGGAAGCACTGTATTGGGCAGAGCCTCGGTTCCCCCAGTTGGTGACAGACCCCAGACTGGCACTCCTGCTCTCCACCAGGCTGCCTTCTCACTTGCTTTGCTGCTGCCCAGATAGCCGCTGTGAGGCACTTAGAAGGTTTAGGTCTGTACATTAGAGTCGTTCGGGAGGATTTATCAGTGGAGGCGAGGCCTGTGGGCCCTAACTGCCTGTTTGTAGAGAGATTATAATACTGTTAAGAGGCAAGGAAGGGAAATCACAAAAGTAAACACATTTCTTTTCGCAGTCCCTTTCTATTTTTGCCTGTGTGTCAGAGCCAGAGCTTGGCCCAGGTTTCATGGAGTGGATCGTCCTGCTTGGCAACGCCAAGCTGGGAAGGATCAGCCCACAGGGTTCATTGCCGTTTCACTTGTTCACGAAGCTGACTCCTCTTCTGTCTTCCCTTCTGTCCCAGCCAAGGTCCCCGACCAGAGAAGCACTGGCCTTCTCTGCTTCCTGTCAACTCACTGATGGGGCATCAGGGCAAACACTGATCCCTCAGAAGAACACTGGGCACATGTTTTTGGAATATTCCACGGCAGATTGGAGAGTGCAAGCCATTCAGTGCTTTTAAGTTTTGTCCAAGGTTTTCATACCTATTATTACACTCTCCTGCTCCGGGCCCCACACCCAGAGATGCGGGCAGCTTCTGAGGCTATCTTCACACTCTCCATAGCCTCACAAGAGCTTGGATTTGGAAGAGCCCATAATCCAAAGAGAATGAAAGCCTGTGAGGTGGAATGGCATGCCCAAGGTAAGCAGCCAGAGATGTCAGAGCAGGACTAAGGCCAGGGGACCTATTACCATCCAGGAACTGCTGTCTTCTCTCTACCACCTGGTTATTAAATCCTGCCCTCACCATCAATTGTGGAAATTCTTCCCTGGGGCTGTAAAAATTTCACTTCAGCAGATGCTTTTATTTTTTCTGAGTCCTTAATACAAAATTCAGGGAAGAAACCAATAATCTGCAATAGGGACAAGAGAAAGAATTGTTTGTTTTACTCTGCAAGAATCCACTAGGCTATTCTCTGCAGTTAGAGAAACTGAGAGATTTCCTTAACTCTTTATGACCTACCAGTGATTTCAAACCACTCCAGGTAGAAATTATGCAGTCTTGATTAAAAAAAAAAAAAAGTTGGAAACTTGTCTGTCATTATTTGTCATTATTTCTAAGTCCCAAAGATGATAAACATTATTAACTAATCATGCCAATTTTATGTATGCTTACTAAAGGACACGTAAAGTAATTTCAGTCAAAAATTCAGATATGCACATCGATTCAGATTCCCAGCTTAAAAGAGAATTTAGCCACATATGGTTCCCTTTAGCAATACTTTGAATACAAGAACTTTCATCAGTTTGAAGAGTCTTTAAAAGCCAAAGCATCCTGGGCCTGTCTCAGTTCCTGCCTTTTTACCTTCTTTTGTGTAGCTCTGTTTCCTTCTGTCCCTCTATCTCTGTTTACTGACATGCTGGTTACATAACGTTTGTGCTGGATTCATCGTCATAAAGTTTTCTTTGCCTGGACAGCAAGTTCTCAGAGTCTGTCAAGTGAGAACTTTACCCTGAGATGCAAGCTGACAGGTGTGAACAGTGGCAGGACAGGGTGGGCCTGCCCGCTGAGATAACACTGGGGGAAGGGATCTAGGAAAAAGAGAGCCTGGGGATAGGAACTGTCCTCACTTAGTGCTTAGAACATTTCTGATGGTGAACTTGCGGCGGAATAGAGCCAAGCCCAGAATCAATTAGGGAGTATTTATGGATGCTGTTTGCAGCAAGAGAAAAGTTTAGGTATCTGTCTCTGTTTTCTGGGCCATAATATTAGTAATACTACACAGGTATCTGTTATGGAAACTAAATGTTGGAGGCTATGTTAAGCACCTTTTAGGCAGTATGAGAACTTTACAATCTTATAAGTGGAATAATTTTTCTAACCTAACAAATGAGAAAACTGAGATTTAGAGGGGTTCAGTAACTTTCCAAAGCCATATAACCAGCTAGTTGCAGAGTCAGCACTAGAACCTGGGTCTGTGTGATTCCAGCGTCCATGGAGCCTAGCACCCATGCAAACCAGGAAGCAGCGCGAGGCAGCTTCCAGCGTGTGCCAAAACAAGTGTGCAAACTGGAAATGCAATACCTTGTTGAGAGAAGAGGGAGATTGCTGTGGGCTGGGGCCCGGAGGAATGTTCCCTTTGAAGCATGTGACTGCAGGGTAGCTGGGGACTGGGACAGGAAGCCAATCACTGAAGAGCCTAGCTTGCTTCTTTGAGTCTTTATCTTTCTATCAGAGAATCAGGCTACGTTGAAAAAAAAAAAAGGATATGAAACTAAAATGAATACATCAGGGTAAACCAGAAACAGCAGAAACACAGGCCACCCCACGTCCTAGCAGACTTACTCTGGGTTTCAAAGCCGGGAAGCTTTCCTTCTCAAACTGAACTGGTGACTGGACCTTAAGGAAATTTGGTCTGGGTGGTCCTACAGGTGCCACAACAGTGAGTTTTGAGCTAGCATTCTAGGGTAAGGGCAATTGTTTCCTGACCAGAGAGCTGGGAGGATTAATGTACTTTGAATAATCCTTTTCATTGATAGCATAGCCTCTACTAAATTCAGCCCCGTGTTAATCCCCACTTTATTGACAGTACAAATATAATTTGAAGGAGGGATTTTTTGAAATGCCTAAGAGAACAAACTTCCTAAGCACTCTCAAGAACTTGGGAAATACTGATGTGTCTTGATCATGGGAAGCAGGGAGAAGTAGAAAAAGAATCCTGAGTTGGGATTCATAAAATTGAGATTCAGGTGTCATCTCAACTAACTCTCTCTCTCTCTCTCTCTCTCTCTCTCTCTCTCTCTCTCTCTCTCTCTCTCTCTCTCTCTCTCTTTCTCTCCCTCTCTGTCTTTAAAGTTAGGTAAGGTGGTTTTCCTCAGTTTCCCCATCTATAAAATAATGAGGCCAGTACAGGTGGTATTTAAGGTGTATTCAACTCTAAATTATTTAGCCATTAATTTAGGGGCTGATTATATATATATATAGAGAGAGCCATCCATATTTCTAGAGTCAATGATATTTGACATCTAAATAATACTTGAATATTCTGAGTAAGGTCAGTCTGAAAGAGAGAACACCGTGAAGGACTATTGGCACATAGTAGCTGCCCTCAAATAGTTGAGGACCATCTGGGGAAAAGGAGATACTAGATTTTTTTGTGACTATCAGAAAGCAAGCTTAAGCTTATGAAAGGGCAGATGCAGCTCAGGTGAAGGAAGGCTTTTCAAAGACTGAAATAGGATATGTGTCAGAATAGTGAGCCTCCTGTCTATGAAAGCAATCAAGAGAAGCCTAGATGAAGCCATGTTCAGGATAGACCACAAGGCTTCCTGCACAGAGCAGGAGGCTGGACAAGCTCCTTCCGAATCTGTGCTCCTCTGACATTGAAAATAATAGACCTGGATGTCCTTAAAAAGTATTCCAACAGTTCCCTAATTCCAGCTGGCCTTCTCCCCAATTCCTCTGCATTTCAGAGGTTTCACTGCATTCCTAAATGGGAAACCTCCCGGGGAAATCAGGATCTCAACAATCCCTGGCCATGGGGGAACATCCAGAAATAGAGCAATAAGGTTAAGCAGTTTTCCAAACTATTAGACCTTTTCATCAGCTGCTCTTCCCATGCCTTTTGCAATTGACCTACTAACTCCCAAAGAGAGAATAATGAGAGCTGCAAAGTCCTCTCTGCAAAGGCTATTACATCCTTCTCCACCCTGGAAATCACTGCACTTCCTGTGGTCTTTCCGTCACCCCAACAGAGCGGGAAGGAAGGGAGGCAGGTCCCTGGCCAGCACAGAGCACTTCAAAGCCCTCTCGCCAAAAAGCCTGGAGACCTAGGTCTAGAGTAGCCCAGATACTAACAGTGTGGGCGAGACGTCTCTGGCAGGCGACTTCCCTTCTCTAGACATTTCATCATCTCCAAAGAGAGGTACTTCAATTTGCATGTGTTCCTAGGTTTCCTTCTTTCTCCAAAGTTCTGAACCAGTTCAGGAAGCCTCCAGTACTGCATATCTGGCTTCATTGCTTTGCTTTTATTTTCTCTTTG